AGTTTGGGTGTAGGGGATGACCTTTCAATACCTGTATCCAGTGCCTACGTTCCTTTCCATTTCTCATCACCCAGGCTGACATCGTATTTGGTGTCAACTTGTGCCTTCAGATCAGTTCATTTGGGAAAACTTATCAGAAAGGTTTGGAAACAGCCTGTGTTTTCTTTCCTTAGGAGGGACCATTCTGATCAGACTTTTCATCCACCCATCGTCCCTTAACATGAATACCCTTGGGTTACACATTTAATGCACAAGGAACAGATGTCCCTTTAGTGCAGTTGCACTTGAGTTTGGGGTGCTTAGCTAGCCAATATTACCTTGTTCCGTCCTCAGTCAAAAGAGATTTAATTCATAAACCGTACAATGAAAATACTCGCCCTGGAATTATGTATACAAAATGTGGTGAAACCTTAAAGCCTGCCATTTAGTTGATGGCATTGGGCTGGTGTCCATGTCCTTGTTCTGCTCACGTCCTGTGGTTATGTAAGATGTTCTCTCTGGGGAAAGCAGGATGAAGAATACCCAGGAACAGTCTGTACTATTTTTGCAAGATCTTTTGAGTCTTAAATGATTTCAAAATAAAAAATTAATCAAGATAGTATGAAAAAGACCATCTAGTCCAGTTGTTTCCAACTTTAATTCTAGCAGCAGTGGCTTCCCTCTTGTCTTCTACCTCCACCCTCAGCAGCCCCAGGCACCTCCTGACACCTGTTAGGCCTCATGCAAAACCATTTTTAAAGTGCCAATCTGATTCAACACTTTCAAGTCCCAAGAGGAAGAAGTCAGATCCCAAAAAAGTGGAAAGCCTCGTTCATCAGTGGATGTTGGTAGTAATGCGGAGAGCCAGGGAGATCTTGGTTGGAGGAGCACTCTGAAAATCATGAGTCACCTCCCTTTAGTTTGCATGATGTGCTGTCTTATCAGACAAAAAGAGGCTAGTCATGCTGGAGAAGGGCTTCCAGGGCCCTGACTCCCATGTCCATGTGGTGGACACAGTGCATAAGGTGGTTCAGGTGGGCAGGTTCACAAGTCATCAATCAGGACAATGGCCAAGGCACTGAGGTGCAGAGGAAAGGCGTGTAGGAGCCCAGTTGGTTTTCACCTGACCTCCTGTGAACACTGAAAGTCAGTCTCTCTCGTTCAACCCAGGCCACTGATGTATTTGGGGGAAACCTTGGACATGCTTCTATTTCCAGGATTGATACAATAGTAATCGCATGTGTTCATCCAGTGATCTCCACATTACCAGATTGTTCTTATTTGTACCCTGAGTTGAATTTCACCCTTTGCCTATGACATAGGTAGACTGGTGGTGTTATTTCTGCTTTACAAATTAGTGACCTGACTTTTCATGGTCACAGAGCCTGTGCCAGGTCTCCAGGGGCCCAGTAAATGCTCTTTTGATGGAAGACTCTTTGGTTCTACAATAAGATCTTGCTCATAAGAAAGCATGCTAAAGTGTGCATATTTGATGACTGACTAACAGGTGCTGCTGCTGCTGTTTTTGTTGTCATCATTTTACTGCATCAGCAGGATCCTTGGCCACACCTGTAATTCAGATGCGTGGAAGGACTCCAAGACTTAGAGCTTACCCAGGAGGTGGAAGCAATAGTTTCCTCTGTTCCCTCACCTCCAGATGGCTAGGGCCTGGTGACACCATGTGTGTGCTGCATGAATAGCACATGGATTCTCCTGGAAAATGAGGCAGGCTGCCTGTGTGCCATGTCAGTAGAGAGCTACACAATCAACTGTCAGGACAGCTGCCCTGGGGCTGCCTGGCACAGGCAGACTCCAGAGGCTCTGTGTGAGCTGCCACTCTTGATTTACTGAGTGCCAGCAGCTGATGCCTGCTTTCTAAAGGGGAAAAACTGGTCTGCCTCTTTCCCCTGGCATCGTCTTTGCCCTCCAAGACATAGGACACGACCTTTGCTGTCAGCATGGGTATCTCTAATTGACACTGACACCAGTCTGTTCCCTCAGCATTCTGTCTCACGTCTTGGGGTCCTGGGGAATTCTGCGCAGCGCCAGTCTGTGCCCATGCTTCAGACAGAGTCACAGCCACCACTTGCTAGGGGAAGGAATCTCTCAAGAAAGATGTTAATGTTTTACACTCCAAGAGAAACATTTAGAAGGTGAATTAGTGACCTGTCTCAAGAATGCTGAATCACCTACATGCATGCTCGCTTAGCACCCATTAGGTACTTTACCAACCACTCTGGAATGGCCTGCTACAGCAGAGATTTCCCGTCTTCAATGTGCCTGCCATTAGGGTCACCTGCAGGAAGACAGGGTTTCATGGTCTGTTTGTTAACAGGCCCTGCACGCAGTGTGCAAACAGATTCCCGGTGATGTAACACTTTTCAGGGTTCCCTATGTCAATGACTGGCAGGACTTTCCCAGGCAGTCCAGAGAGTACACACTGTAGGCTTTGGGCCCACACAGACTGTCACCATCACTCATCTGTGCCACTGTGGCCAAGGAAGTATGTAAATAAATGAGCATGGCTCTTTTCCAACGTAAGCTTATTTATAAAAGCAGGTAGCAGGCTTATCTCCCCCTCCACCAACAAAAAAAATTATGTTGCAGATATAGAAATTGCAAAGATCTTAAAGAGGCAGATCTCATTCTGAGATCTGGAAGCACTGGGGTGGAAATCAGATGTTGGTCAGGTCTCAGCCCTGGCTTTGCACTGTCACGTGTTCCTGTAAAGGTCACTAATGTCTCTGTAAAATGTGGGTGATAGTTACACAGCAAAAACAAAAAACACAGAGGATGCTCATTTTTACCAGTTCTGGCCAAGGCATTTATCAGTGTATGTATGGTTTACCGTCCTTTTTCCTACACAATTTGAACATACTGAAATTTTCGAATCTACATCTGAAAAATATCATCAGAACTCATTGGCTTATGTGGCTGACATTTGATGTCCCAATATCAAACAAAAGGTGAATTTTTTCTAACAAAAATTTCAAACAAAATCAGAATCACCTTTGTGATCTCCTTAAGTCACCAGTACCTAAGCCCTAAAACATCAAAAGCCAATGGTTTCCTTTGTGTCTTGTACTTGAGGAACACTAGACCATAGGATATCTCACGATTAATATTATTATTATTACTTTCTTTTTACTTGTTTGAAAGAAAGTTCTTCCATCTACTGGTTCATCTCCCAGATGCCCAAAACAGCTAGAATTGAGCCAAGTCAAAACCAGCACTAGCGTTCCCCTCTGGGTCTCCCACATGGGTAGCAGGAACTCAGGCACTTGAGGCATCAGCTGGCGACACTCAGGGTGCACATTAGCAGGAAGCTCAATGAGAATGGAGCCAGGACTCGGACACAGTGGTTCTCAGAGAGGACACTGGAGAACCGAGCAGTGTCTTAACCGTCATGCCAAACTCCTACCCTGGATAGCTCAGGGTGAGCCACTGTAAATCAACTCCTGTTCTCCTGACTTTCCATAAACCCTGACTTCCTCCATCCTGAATTCAGGTGACAGAAATTCTGTCTTCGCAGCCACTCAGGTCACGAAGAGTGATTCTCAGTGACGGGAAGAATTTAATGGGCCCTGCTGCATCATGTTGAGTGTAAATAAAACAAACGGTCTCGCAGCTCACCCCTCAACTTTTGTAAATTACTAAGCAAAGATGCTTACCTGCTGCATATTCTCAGGACTGACTCTGTGTCAGGCAACATTGGAAGCGTTACGTGAAGACTGATGTGTTGTGTCCTCATAACAGCCACAGATATGGGCGAATTCTCAGTTTATCGATGAGGCAGAAAGGATAAAACGGGTATCTGCATCCGAGGCAAGATTCTGAGCCCATGCAGTGACCCCAGAGGTTAAGCTTGTGAATCACCAGAGTTGGTATGCCCTGTCTGTAATTCATCTGTGAATTATACAACTGAAATTTACCTACTCAAAAAATGACGTTTGGTTACCCTTTGGGTCCCTTGTGTGGTGTGCTAGGGTAGGAGATGGCATTGCAGTAGGGGCATAGGAAAAAAAATCCCATACCTTTCCAATCTCCACCTGTGCTAGAGCTTGCCTAGACAGTGTTCCTGTGACAGCCCAGATCCAGAACAAAGTCTCCATCAGCTTGGGGGTACACCCTGGTACTCAGTGCATTGTGGTTTCAGGACAAGGTCTCCATCAGTTTGGGGGCACACCCAGTTTCTCAGTATATTGTAGTTTCTAGTCAAGGTCTCACTATCAGTTTTGGGGGGATACATCATTTTGGAAACTTTGCACGACAGCTGTTTTAAAAGGTAAGGGTCATTCAGGGCTGCCTCACAAACAGGCCCTGATTTTGTGCCCCAAGGAGGCAGGGATGCTGAGTTGTTTAAACACTGGCCATGGGCATACATTTGGTACAACAGTTAAGAAGCAGCATAGGGCTTACATTCTCTATCAGAGTGTGTAGGTTCGAGTCCCAGCTCCGCTTCTGAGTCCAGCTTCCTGCTAACACACACCCTGAGAAGCAGCAGGTTATGGCTCAAGTACTGGATGCCCTTACACCAGATCGGAGACTAGCATTGAATTCTGGGCTCCTGGCTTAGATCTGGCCCAACACTGGCTGTTGCAGGAATGCATTTGGAAAGTGAACTGGCAATGGGAATTTGTGCTCTGTGTGTCTCTCTGCATCTTCACTGCTTTTCAGATAAAAGTGAAAATGGGAAGTAAATGAAAACAGCAATGATAACACTGCCCCCCCCACACACACACTCCCAGGGTTTTGAAAATTATAGGTCCAGAAGTGAGAACTTCAGTAAAAAGCCTGGCATGTGCCAATCACATGCCAGAGAAGGAAATGTGTATTTTGCCACATGTGAACCTGATGTTTCAGTAACTTACCATCCCCATCCCGTGACCCTGCAGAATGGTGTGCCGTTTGGTTACAGAGCCTTGTAGGTGTCGGGGTTGGCGTGGAGTCTGAATTTGGTTTAATCCAAAGATGTGTCCCTTTCGAGCATGGTGTAAGCATTGTACTTTCTCTCCCCCCAGGATCCCAGGAGCAAGCACAAGTTCAAAATACATACCTACGGGAGCCCCACCTTCTGCGATCACTGTGGGTCATTGCTATACGGACTCATCCACCAGGGGATGAAATGTGACAGTAAGTTTTCTTCTCTGGTTGCAAAGGTCTTCAGCCATCTTCATGGCCCATGGAGCACTGCATGCCCAGTCGCTTCTCATCACCAGCCCATCCATGGATGGTTTTAGCTTGTTAAACTTACTTGCACAACAATGAACAAAAGGCAAAAAGACACTTGACTTTAAATGAAATGGGTAGATGCCCTTACATTTAGGTTTTAGTGGTAGAAATCATCCATTATTGTTAAATGCAGGTTAAAGTCAGAGCCTATAGAAGACACTCACCTCCAGACTCTGCCTTTGGTTTAACTTCCACATAAAGCTGAGCAGCCGTGGTCATTCTCCTCCTGTGTTTCTAATTAGTGGGTGGATGTGAAAAAATCCAGGAGGCGCTCCTTAAAACCGGGAACGAAAGGAACTCAAAACCCAGGCTCACATCTTAAGTCCATATATCCTGCACGTTGTCCAAAGGTCAGATTTATCTCGGTCCAGTTCAAGATGAAATCCCCGAGGACTTCCATCAAGAGGACATCAGCCTTTTGCGTTCTCTTTTCCCATCATCTGCATATTTCTGTCTAACACCAGGAGAAAGGAAAAAACAACGTTGGAAACTCTTGGCTTCAAGCATTCTTAAATTATGTGATTTCCCCAGACTCTTTGTTTAAGTAAAAATTGGGGCTTTTAGGACAGGAGAAGGTAATTACTGAGCTCAAGTCTTCTAATATGCTGGAAGGCGTTGTGGAAGTTTCAGTATGCTGTCGTTCGCTGAAGTCCTACAGGGCCCTAGAGCCTTCCGTTTGTCTCCTACAGGGGGCAAACACAGTATGTAAAGGGACTCTGTAGGAATATTGTAGACGGGAAAGAGTTTCTGCAACCACAGGTACTGTCCATTTCCTGAAGCTGCACAACCACAGAGCAGTTTACAATGCCTTTGCCATCATCCAAGCCAGTGGCCTTCGTGTCTCTGAAAACCCTAGGATTCAGACATGTGGTTTTCTGAGTTCTGTAAGTGCCAGCTCTGTGTGCATTCATAATATGTCCTGAAGGCATTTAGATTTCATGTGTTAATTGGGAGGGAAATGAAGACAGAAGAAAAGAGAGAGAAAGCATGCTAAATGCTCACAAAGCCGAGATTATCAAAACCAAGTCTGCTAGGTAAATGATAGTCAACCACTGGAGCCATCACTTTGTGGAATCGCAAGTGGAGCCTGGGTTCAAATCCAGCACTCCAGTGTGGGACATGGGCATCTTAACTGCTAGACCAAACTGTCTACCCTCTGTAAACACACTGTATGCACTATTGTAAACCTTTGAACAAGAATGAACACTCGATTATGTTGTACACTGGGCATTGACAAAGGTCAAGGTGCCTCGCTGAGCTTATATGCCAGCTTCACTGATTGGACAGTACCTGTAGTCACATTTCTGAAGGGTCCCTGGATGGAGAAGCGTGCTGGTAAGTACAGCTCCTCATTGCTTATACATTCCTGTATATGAACCAGTATTTGTGGATGCCACAGAGCTTTAAAAAAAGAAAATACAAGAATAGATGGGCTACTGATGCCGGTCTGGGATATTGTCTTAGTTTGTTTTCTCTTGCTATAACAAAGTATCTGAGGCTGGGAAAATTTAAAGAGCTCACAATTCTGGAGACCAGGAAGTTCAGGACATGACGGCAGCATCTGGTGAGGGTCTCCTCCCATGGCATGGGGTGAGTAGGCAGCAAGTGTGCAAGCTCAAGTCTCTTTCTTGTCAAAGCTACTGTGACCATCCTGGGGATCCCACAACTGGGGATTAGGAGTCCAACTCATGAGCTGTTAAGAGACACATTCAAGCCATAGCAGATATTAGCTGGTATTCCTAACAGCTTGTTTCAAGGTTTCTTTAGATCAGAGAGCTTTAATACTTGTTCTTGAATGTCTAATAAATATGGTATGAATTTGAATTTATTATTAACTGAATTTATGTTAATGAGATAACAGTCATCTCCTGTGTCTGTTAGGAGTCTGGTTTAGATTTTGATTTTAAAAACAAAAAACAGGATCCATTACTAAGAAATTTTGAAAACCACTGAGCTGAACCAGTGCTTTTGTTTTCTTGTAATCTTGTCTCCTTGGAGTTTTAAAGCTTCCCAGGGACACTGCCCAGGTGCCTTTTGAAGGGAGAAAGAAAATAAGCAGATGTGCCAGGGCTCCAACCTCTGTTCTAACTTCAATGGGAAAAGAAGTGTCTTCCTGTGCCTTGCCTGTTGTGTGATGAGATCCTGCATGTGATTCCATTTTAGAGTTGTGGGGGAAGTTTACCTGGGTAGGCCAGGCTCTGAGTTTGTAGAGGAAGAAGCTGGCTGAGAAAGCATAGATTGTGTGGGCAGAGACTATCCATGGTGGAGCCTGGAAACACCCATACTGGGAATTGGGGCAAGACACTTGAAGCTCTGATTTAGTTAACTTACATTATATCAATAACACCAACTTTTCTGACATCTTTATATGGGCTAAATCAAGGCACAGGATCTTGCACAATTTACTTTGGAAATAAAAGCCCAGCAGGACCCTTATGTGTCAGTCAGCTATAATCGCCCTTTGTCCCTTTGTCATCTTCCTGCTCACAGTGTTTAACATACAACAAATATACATCATTCGTGATGCTTTTCACAGATTACTGTCTGGCTTGACTTAATGCATAGGACGCCTGCACCTTGAGTGACAGACCTAATGAGCATACCATGAAGGAATTCTGAGGTTACAGCCACTATCCCTCTGGAAGCCCCAGGCACCAGAAAGGACAAGGGGGCAGCAGCTCCTACACCGAGTCTTGTGTTCATGGTCGGCACCCAGGATTATTGTCAGGGTTTCTTTGGTTCACTGCAATAAGACTGATCTCTTTCACATCCACCTCCAAGTCGCCCACGTAATGTCAGCTGAAAAGAGTGGCTTATAATGCCAGGCTTGTATTTGTTTTACTTGAAATGATATTTAAATATTTGAGGCAGGTTTAAAATACCAAATACAGGTTCTTTAGAAAAAAAAAAGGCAATGTACTTAAACCTTCTTGAACATACAGAAGTAGTTGAGGAAAAGAAAATGTTAAGAATTTCCTATAACCAAATCACCTCTTTTCACTCTTTCGTGGTGGTGTGCTCAGAAAGACATAAGGAGCTCTTTGGCAAAAAGCATTCTCTGCTAAAAATGAACAGTCTTTGCCTCTGTGTGTAGAAAATAGGACTTATTCAGAGCTCTGTTCATATTACCTGTGTGACTCTTATATCCTGTTAAATATTTGAAACCATCACGGAAGACCAGGCTGGGATATTTTGCTTCAGTTAAGACTGAACAAATATAGTATGGGTATTTTAAGGATATTGTCACTCACACAAAGCCTGTGCCATAAGGGACATCTGCTAACAGTTCTTTATGTCACCAAAAACATGATAGCAAAGTATCAAGTTAGGGGATAACTCATTTTCACTCCTGCTCCGACAGCAAAGCACTGAAGCAGTGATGACAGAGCATATGGCTACCCTCACTCTGCGCCTTCTCTCTCCACAGCCTGTGACATGAATGTCCACAAGCAGTGTGTGATCAATGTCCCCAGCCTCTGTGGAATGGATCATACCGAGAAGAGAGGGCGGATTTACTTGAAGGCTGAGGTCACCGATGAGAAGCTCCATGTCACAGGTAAGCCTTGCTTGGCCAAGAGCAGCACAGTCAGGTGAAGGTCAAGCGTACACACAGGCAGGATGGATCCAGACTCAATGTGTCTGTCGTGGTGGAGTCACCACTGTGCCTAGACCCTGCACTGCAGGCCTAACTTAATACATCCACCAGGAAGCTGGGCTCAGAGTCTCAAGCATTATGTCGGTTAGGGTATTTGGATAGTATTGTACAGGAAAGGACTTTCATCAAATGCTCTTGATAGGAGCGGAAGAGGCAGGGAGAAGGGGCTGATGGATAACCCAGAAGTTTAGTGGAGAGGGACTCTGATGACTTCCTAACTCCAACAACAGCAGCAGCAGCAGGGGATGGTGCTAGGAACACTCCCCCCACACCCAGACCTGTCTGTTAAGTCCTCACAACTGCCTGGTTGGCAGCCTCACTTTGGAGAGGAGGGTATTGAGGCAAAGAGCAATTGGTAGCTTGCAGTGTTGCAGATTTGCCAAGTGAGGAGCCAGGATCACGAATTCGGCTTTGGACTCCAGGTCCTGTGCTTCTAATTCTCCCAGCATCTGAGCTTCCTACAAACAGGCCGTAAGATCAGAATCCCCTACAATGGGCTGGGATACTGGCTCCTCAGAGCTGTGTCTAGGCATTGCCATGACATGACTTCTCCTTTAGTTTTCTCACCAGCCCCCTATAGATGCATTAGCACACTCACTGAAGTCATCCTGGAGTTGTGTTGACCAGGATCCCTCCACTGGCCTCAGGATGGCTTGGCTTCTGTGTGTTGTAACCCTCTCTGTGGTGGTTTATGGCTTAACATCCAGACCTTTCTTTCCTTGCTTTTGGGGTCTCTCTTGTGGATCACAGAAAACTCTAAAACAATACTTCTTAGACAGAGGCATTTGTTTTCATTTGGCCAGAAAAGATGCTATATCTGTATTTAGGAAATTTAATGTGTGGTATGTGTTGTAAGACTTACTTTAATTTTGTGTATTTAAAAGAAAAGCTGGAGAGGTCTGCTTAAGAGAAAGAAGGGGTCAGGGGAATTCTCTGAGAAAGCTAACTTTGGTAAACATCCTCAAATCCTTCTCTTTGGAAAATAAGCAGACTTTCCTCTCAATGTTGTCTCTTGAGTAAGAAAACAAAGCAAGGCATAATGAGACATCGCTGGGAACAGTTTGCCTCTGGATAACCCTATGAAACAAACCACCTGTTGAGACTGACTAGGCAGAATTGTGAATAAAATCCCTGTCATAGACAGAGCCCCTTTGGATTCTGCGCTCTAGAGAAGTTATGTTGTTTTCTCAGAAGCCATGCCTGCTGGGCCGTTATACTCAGGCTGTGGCTATCAACTGCATTTCCCTTTGATTGGGCTGATGCTATCCATGGGCTCCACTTTGCCCATGGGAGACAGTTTCCTTGGGAGCCATGAGAACACTGACCATGTCACATCTTTATGTTTGCTTCTCTCTTCCACTGCATTGTCAGAGCCATGTGTTGAGGGCAGGGAGTGGGCCATTGAGGAGGAAATTGCTGTAACATAAAGTCTTCGTAGGCCATAAGGGTTTAAACAGCATTAAGTAGACTTTTAGTGGTGAAATGTTCCTGTGCTTTTCCCTTATTTCCACAGTTACTACTGTTGGCAGCAGAACAGACATCCCAGGTGAATAGTCAGAGCTTAATTATAGGACTTGCCTGTGGCACCTCATAACTCCCTGTAAAGGCCAGAATGCCTGGACAGGTTTTAAATGTTGAGTTGTCACCCATTGTGTTTCTGGATAAAGCAAAAACACACACTGCAGGCTGGACTTGCCCTGAGCCTTCTGCTAGAATAAAAGCAGTAAATCATACAGTGCTGCTCGAGGCATCTGGTCGCTTCTAGAAGCTCAAAGAGCCTTGCAGGTAGGGAACTAACTGCAGAGGGGCACAGGTGCTCTGGCAAGGGTGACACCTGAGTACAAGAGAAAGGTCAGGTCCCGTCAGATCCAGGTTCGTGACATACTAATTGTTTCACCACTGCTGAGGACTGATCTTATCACAGAATTGTTGAACTGCCCTAAGAGACCATATCTTTCACTGTATTGGACGTGAACTTTTCATGCATGAAAACCAGCCAGTATAACTTACAGCAGCTATTTAGGTCAAGTCTCTGGGAAATTAGCTCACAAGGGTTTCTGTAAGTTTCAGCTGTACTCCAAGAACGCATGCTCAGTGGTAGTTTAAGGATTATACTGCTTTATCCACTAGGCTGCTATATCCCAAGATGCCTTAGACCTTGGCTGTGGTGATGGGTCACTCAGTGCTTCATGGATTCTGCCTCATGTCGTGTCCTGGTGTTGTAGGAAGGGTTGTGACATGGTGAGGGGCAAACACATTTCCTTTCAAGCAGGCACTGATGTCCCAAATGGCATCTTAACCATTATACCTAATACCCACCTTGGTACCTTCATTCTATGAACAAAGGAACTAAGACACACGAAAATGAAGCAGCTTGCCCCAGATCACACAGATGGTAAGCATAGTGGTTAAAAATTTAAGTACCAGAGGACAAGGATATTTCCATCATAGCATCAATAAAACTTGAAGTCTATTATAAAATGCAATTATTTCTATAAAGGAAATCCAATTCTAAGTATAGAAAGAAAAATCAGAGCAATAGCTTATTAGTGTCTCATTGAAACTTGTAGTTTAAGATAATTTTTAAAATCCTTAAAGTATTACAGTATCCATTTACCTCTTCACCCGGTGCCCACTGATAATGGCATCCTTGTATAGCTGTAATTTAAGTACCAAAGCAATCACATTCTTAAACATTACCAGATATATTTGTTTAAAAAAAAAAAAAAAACAGGTACTTGTGTTAGCCACTGAGAGCTATCTTAAAGAGCCGAAGACACCAGAATAGGCTATCCCAGTACAAAATGAACAAAGGAGTACAAACTTTCACCTGCCTGCACCTCATCTCAGCTAAGGTACAAATTTGATGGCAGGTGCTATCATTTAGGGAGTGCTTGTTGTAAACTGGCTCTTCATCAAGGATAGCTTGTTGCTTTTCACGAAGCATCCAGTAGTCATCTTATCACAGAGTACTATTCTTGTCTTCCTTTTCAACAAGACCAAAGGACCTCTGCAAAGGGAAGGATATTGCTGCAGGTTGCATGGTAGAAAGTGGTGGAGTCAGGGCTGGAAGCCAGGTCTGACCTACAGTGCGTATACTATGAACCTCCCAAGTCCCTCAAGTAAGGCATCTCCTTTTCAACAAGCTGTAAACCCACAAATATTTGCTGTGCCTGCGTTCAGCACCACATGAGGTGTTAAACAAAGTCCAGGTATGAATCTTAAAACCAGGGAAGGAAAGAGTGACACAGGAAGGAGCTGAAGAACAGTCCAAGTTCATGTATAATCGAGAGCCAAATCATGCCTTCAATAAGTAGCGCCCCAGGAGGAGGCCCACTGGGCAGGGAGGAGGAACAAGGCCAGCAAAGGCACCTGGGAGTGGAGGAGGCTGCAGGGCTGTAGACAGAGAAGGCAGAGGAGAAAGAGCGCCAACTGAGGGAGCCCCACTTTCATGAGAATGCAAATGGAAACAATAAGGCATGATGAGCAGAGCTGACGGTCCAAAGGCAGGTGATTTCTGGGGGAAATGCGATCAAACCTAAGCCCTGGCAGCTGTGTTCACTGCTAAACGTGTTCAGTCTCCATTGTTGACCTGTGCAGACTCACTCCCAAGGCCAGGAGACCCCACAGCCCCTGTGGGGAGTCCAGCAGTGGGGTGGACATCACCTTTAGGAAAAAGCAGAGCGATGTGGTCCTGATGGGAAAGGCCTCTGCTTGCATGGTATATTTTGGGGTTTTTTTTTTTTTTTTTGCCTCCGGGCAGCAATGCTGATGTTATCAGAACACTGTCACTTTTTTTTTTGGTTCATTGCAGCAGATGATTTTAATGGGTTTCCTACGTTCTTGTGTGCTTTTTTATTTGGAGGAATGGTTAAAAAAATCCCTCATGGGAACCAATTTTCAATTTAGTGTTGTAAGTAAATGGAAAAAAAATATCATGTGCTGTTCAGCTGTTGCAGAAACATGTTTCTCCCACAATAGATTAGTCTCAGGCAGGTCTCATTTGTCAAGTGCTCCAAGTGGTTGATTTGGGGTCGAGAGTGAAATACTGAGCCAAGCTCCTGTCGGAGGATCCTTGCAGCCCAGAGACCCGTAACTTGGGTGACATTGTAGCTCCCCAAGTCTGAGTCTGTTCCTGGGATTAAAGCCATCATTTTCTTGGGAGCATTCTTTCCTCGTATCCTGGGGTATTCAGGCAAGGCAGTTTCATATAGCCATCATTCATTAAAAAAAAAAAAAGATTTATTTTATTTTATTGGAAAGATATGCAGAGAGAAGAAGAGACAAAGAGGAAGATCTTCCATCTGCTGATTCATGCCCCAAGCAGCCGCAACAGCCAGAGCTGTGCCGATCCGAAGCCAGGAGCCTGGAGCTTCTTCCGGGTCTCCCACACGGATGCAGGGTCCCAAGGCTTTGGGCCGTCCTCGACTGCTTTCCAAGGCCACAAGCAGGGAGCTGGATGGGAAGTAGGGCCACTGGGATACAAACCGATGCTTATATGGGATCCTGGCATGTACAAGGCAAGGTCTTTAGCTGCTAAGCTACCACCCTGGGCCCACCATCATTCATTCTTTGATTACACATTAATTGTACTTATGGAGCATGTGTGCAGAGTGGGAATAGAGTTTGTCATAGAATGTGTGGTCTTGATGGGATGGCACGGGTAGTGGGGAGCTATAAGACATGAAATGGAATTACAGAGCAACCACTATATCCCTTAATGTGCAGTGAGAGCCTTGGGTGCTTCAGTTGCCATGGTACAGGGTCATGGGGCCAGCAAGACTGGAAAGGACATTGGAGGTGATGGTCAGGATGCTGCACAGCATTCAGGGATTTGGGGAATTGGGGAGTGAGAGAGATGGGGAGCTGGGAAGAAATGTTTGTGCATTTCAAGGGATTAG